AGTGGTAGTGAAACTCTGAAAAGTGTGATTCAAACAGGAAATGGAGAATGCTCGCCTTCAACGTAAAAGTTGTACCTATGTGCTACTCCCAATATGTTTCACAAGGTGCAGCTTTTACTCTGAAGGCAAACATCCTCTGTTTCCAGTTTTAAAGGAACAATTTCACTACAGAGTGTTTGTAGACAAGTCAGCATCTTCCATTCAAACAACGAGGAATCGCAGCAAACTGCAAGGCAAGTTTTACCAACCGTTTAGGGAATAGAGATTTTTCCCTCGGGGCATAGTGCTGACTGGTCGGTGGGTCTATGTGACTTAGGCCTTAATTGTCACTATGACTGTCACACATCCAAAATGGCAAATAGGTTAATGTCATGTGTTTAGTAGTCACATGAATGCAAGACCTCAATATGCAAAGATTGAATTAATGCAAATTTAAAAATAGATATTTCTCCTAAAAACTTCTTTCACTCTCGACATTCACACATGAAGAACAAGCCTACCAACACCGTCTGACGACTGCTGCTGTTGTATTGTAAAATCAGTGATTGTATAAAGGATTTTTACTAGTTAATGGGTTAAACATAGTTTTGAGAGCTTAAATTCTGGTGAAACTTCTTCAACACATGTGTGCATTATACTGTAAAGATCCTAATTAAAGTAAAACAAGGCTCACAAGGCTTGGGCTGTACTTTCATGCCATTCCAATTTGTACCACTAGACGATGCAGTGGGTCTGTGCAATCTTTCAATCAATCTTTAGGCTAAAAAGAAAAGATAGTATAGAAAAGATAAGATAGAAAAGAGTATAACTACAAAAAGTCCCTGTAAAACACAGGAAAACACCACAGTCTTAAGTTTTTCGAATGGGTTTGAATGGCAGTGGGAAATTCCTGGAAACACGTGAATGCAGAGTAAATCACTCCAAACAGAATCAAATGCAGGTTCACTCGCTTACTGTGACTCAGTGATTTATTATTTTGGACAGTGACAAATTAAATGACTCAGTAAGAAAAGATCCAGCTGTTCCATGCTTTCTCATTCCTGCACCCAAAATAAAAAATTATGTGCAAGACCAATTTGCCACTAAACATGCTCACATAATCTGGATCTTATTATAAACACAAAGCAATTTCCATCAGTGTTAATAAAGCATGATACAAGTTCGTTTTTAAATAATTTCAGCTGGAGATTTGTATTGTTTTATTGTACGTTTAAGTTCTGAAACCAAACTATCCATTAATAAGGAAATAAACCTCCACATCCAGTTATTGTCGTCTAGCTTTACAGACCGTCCACTAGTAAAAGCTGAACCTTCTGAGTGTATGGCGAACTCTGGTGGACAGATAAGGATACTCGCCTGCAGCAGCACAACAATGTAAACAATGATTATATTCATAAATATATTCAATAAAGGACTGAAAATTCATCACATTTTTGCGGATCTTTGAAATTTTACCATCAATTATCTGTAAATGCTGAAGACTGAACGTGGCGACACTGACATGGTATCTGTAGTATATTAAAAAAACAACATATCTACCAAATTCAGCGCACCAAAGTCACCGCCTGTGTGTGCGTGTATGTGTCTTGATGACCATTGGACACACAGACACACACAAAGTAAAATTTTCTGTTCTCTTCTCTCACATTGACCACTTCTGCATGAACACACAGAACATACTGACCAATAGGAAAGTTCCTTTCACCCATTCAGTGACTGAGGACAGTTTTATTTGGCGGTGTACTTTGTAAATATCTCATTTCTGTACACTTAACCCCCATTTTGCTGCAAAGGTCACAGTCACTGAGGAGGAACCTCTAGTCTTCAGTTTCTGGCTTCTGTTGTCTCGTCCTCCTGTTTTCACTCCTGTATGGGTGCCTCTTCATCATTTGAAGTCTGTGCAGACTTCTCTGTTAAATGATGAAAAGTGTTTCACTGTAAAGATTCCTCTGACATGTCTAAAATTAAAGTCTGCATCATACATGCCCATATGGAAAAGATATATATAAATCTTATAAAGTTTGTATCTGTCTTGTGTGAAACTTGAATGAAAAGCATACAAGAGTGAAAACAGATATAAGATCCCTTGAAAAATTATATAAATGAAACTTGTATGTTTTGGATACTTACTAAAACAATATATGAAAGTAATGAGAAAGTGGCCACTTTCATGAGTAAATCATGTAAGCCTTACTGTATATGATTCACTATATGAAGTAGGCCACAAGTCTTTTATTTTTAATAGTTTTTACTATTTCTTTTCCATATGGGTATCTCAGGATAACTGAGCATTACTAAGTAGGGTAATTTAAATCCATTATAAAACCTGAGGATGAAAGTCTTTAAGGAGTTCAGTTAAACGTTTTAATAGAATAATCTGTTTGATTTTGGAGCCATGTGGGCGCTAAGCTTTGTATTTGCTCTTGTACTTTTAGCATTCCCTTTCAATATGATCAAGTTGTATTCACTAGGATCATTGATGGAGCCTGGATGCATTCCCTGGTCCTCTGCAAGAGTCACTGTTAAATGTTAAAAAAAGACCGTCAACCATCACTCTGCATCTGTCACACCTGTGTCCATCTCACTGAGAGATCGATTAAACGATTAAAACTGACTCAGAATTCATTTGACTTCATCACAGGTCACTCAGGCTGAGCATGTTTCCTCTATGTGATGAAAAAAAATTTACTTTATTGTTATTATTCGACATCTGCCATAGAATTTTTTTAATATAATAACTGTACAAAAGATGTACATTTTTAGGATATTATATGTGTTATTAATAGATTTGATCTTTAAATCTGAGCCGTTTTAAACCAACTTCAGCACAAAACCTCCACCCAATCTCCTCTTTGTCCTCTTTCCTGCTGTCTCTGATGTAATCAGTGTCTCTGTGGTCGGGCCTCGCAGCTCAAACATACAGTAAAATAAAGAATAAGATAAATAATCTCTGTAAGTTGAAATCTTAATAACAAAAAGAAAAAGTATACAAATAAATAAATAAATAAAATGCCATTTTAAAAAACGCAGGCAGAGTAACTGTAATCTTTTTCTGGATTCTTACCTGGATTAGCTTTTATGTGCTTGTGCCAAATAAAGAAGCCAGACAGGGCCACCACAATCAGCAATACAGTAAATACTAGTCGTGTGAACATAACAGCAAAATTTCCTACAACAAAGAAAGAATAAATTAATAACACTGTAAATGTTTACAAGAATGATGCACATGTCTTGGTGTGATAACTAACTGCTTGTGAATGGGATGATGACGTCATCACTGCGTTCACTGCTGACTGGGTTTTCCAGCTGACAGCTGATCGGTTTTCCAAACCACTTTGTATCATCCTAGAAATGTAGAGAATCAAAAGATCAAGGCAAGGCAAGGCAAATTTATTTGTATAGCACAATTCAACAACAAGGTGATTCAAAGTGCTTTACTGAGACATTAGAAACAAAAACAAATAAAAAGCATGATTTACAATTGATTAAAACAAGCAAACAAACAAACTAACTAAACACACACATTTCACACCTGTTCGCGCGATCTGAACCCTTATCGTAAGGGGAGCTACCAGTCCTTCTGT